TGTTGTGTAAAACAAAGTAACCAAAGATACTATAGTACTCATAGATATTTAGGTTACAATCACAATGAACACTTTAAATATATCTAAGAATTGTATAGGTATATTTCCCTCCCTCTCACTTGTCCCTGCCCTTTCTTCTCTTCTCTCTCCCTCCTTCCCTGACCCCTCCCTCCCTCCCTCCCTTCCTTCCTTCCTTCCTTCCTTCCTTCCTTCCTTCCTTCCTTCCTTCCTTCCTTCCTTCCTTCCTTCCTTCCTTCCTTCCTTCCCTGGGGTTGGAATTCAAGACCTTCCACTTGCTAGGTAGGTGTTCTACCACTTAAGCCATAGGTCTGTCATGTATCCTTTCTACTTATCACCTATATAGAATCAGTGTCATTTATACATGTCTGCTTCTCCTGGAAGAAAACAAAAGTGGGTGTTATTAAAAATAACAGAGTTATTAACATCCTTTCTCAATATAAAAAGTAACAAATATTTCTTCTATATTGCTTAGTTTTACTAGAAGACAGCCAAGTTAAAGTAAACTTATAGTAAGATTATAGAAGAACTGTATAGAAAATGAAATTAATTTGAATTTATTAAAAACTAAGTTTTTAATAATCTCAAATATTAAAAACTAACCTCTTCCTACCTATGAAAGTACTGTTCACACATTTTAGAAATTTAGAAAATACAGAATGATACAAAGAAGAAAATAAAAATTGCTTGTAATCTTATTAATACTAATTTTTGATGCATCTCCTTCCAGAATTGTTACAGAATTATTCTCTCCCTCATTTACTCTTAGTGACTTCAGTATTCCAGTGGATATTATTTTGCATGTTTGTGTGTACATCTGTGTATACTGGTCCTGGGCTCGCACTCAGGGCCTAGGCACTGTCCCTGAGATTTTTCACTCAAGGCTAACACTCTACCACTTCCACCATAGCTCTACTTGTGGCTTTTTTGGTGGTTAATTAAAGGTAAGAGTAACACAGATTTTTCCTCCCCCAGCTGGCTTCAAACTACGATCCTCAGATCTCAGCCTCCTTTGTAGCTAGGTTACAGTCCCAGCTTCCTTATAATTTTATGGCCTTGCATCACCTTTAATAACCCTATCTACTAATTCACTTCAGCCACTTGCTGTAATTTTGCCTCTTTCCTTCCCCACGTTACTGAGGATCTTCAGTTATGGGAGTCTTCCCAGTGACTGTACCGCTCCTGCCTGGCAAGCTTCCTCCAGCCCTGTCAATCTGCAGTGTGTTGGGCTTCATGGGCCAAGATCACAGTCACACTCCTGCAACATCTTCAATTCTCTTGTTTCTTATTCTTTATTGGACTCACCTAGCACAACTCAGCCATTGCTGAGATGGACTATGGCCTTCTCATTGTCTATTCCTGATTAATAAACTTTTCCTGTCGTGTTAAATTCATAAATACCAATTTAAATAGACATAAAGTATTTTCAGCATGTATTTCTTCTTGGTGGCATATTGTAATATGCCTTGTTCTGATTCACACAGATGAATTGGCCAAAAGTTATGTAAGATTGTAATGGTATAATCAGTGAACTGAAATGTAGATTGGTAGATAGAGAATTTTATCCTCTCCAGAGACTAAATAATCTATTTCTTCTGTGGAACATTTATAACTATCAATCATTAGTCTGGAAACAATTGTTTTAACTGAAAAAAATTCTCCAAAATAAAGATTTTACAGTTAAATTCTCCAACCAGAAGAAAAGCTAAATGATAAACCAATCCAAGAAGTTGAGCAACCCTTCCTAATTTAAAAAAGAAATCTTTAACTACTTGAGAATTAATGGATAGTTATCTAAACCTAAAAATAAAAAAATACATTCATTGTCAGGCACCAGTGGCTCACGCCTATAATCCTAGCTACTTAGGAGGCTGAGATCTGAGTATCACGGTTCAAAGCCAGCCCAGGTAGGAAAAGACCTCGAGACTCCTATCTCCAATAAACCACTCAGAAAACAGGACGTGGCACTTTGGCTCAAGTGGCAGAGTGTAGCCTTGAACTGAAGAAATCAGGGACAGTGCCCAGGCCCAGAGTTCAAGCCCCATAACCAACAAAAACAAAAACAAACAAAAAACATTCATTATACATTATCTGCAAACTCTAGAAATTAATCATAGTTGATATTTCACATTAATTATATGGTTTATAGCTAACAGGAAGCTCAGAATAATGTAGACCTTTAAGCTAAGTTTGTACTTACAAAAATTAGGCTGGGGGCATGGCTGAAGTGGCAGAGCACTTATCTAGCAAACACAAAGCCCTGTATTCTACTCCTAAAAACAAAAAATAAAAACAGAACAACAACGTAAACAAGACTTTGCAGAAATATAGCTAGATGTGGTGGTCCATGTGCCTGTAATCCCAAGAGACTGAGGCAGAAGAATGCAAAGTTTAAGACCTGAACTATATAGCAAGATCTTGTCTCACAAATACCTGAAACATCAAGTAATACAAAAGTAAAGCATCCAACCTCAGCCACTAGTAAAATATAGAAAAACAAAAAATCTTAGAGAAAACCCCTCTTAAGCCTAATACAGTAGCATAAAATACACACACACACACACACACACACGTGTATGTGTGCATGTGCACACACAAGTTTAAGTACAACTAGCTGTAGAAAAGAATCCTAATCCATTAGATGATAATATTATGGACCAATTAGAGATAACACATTTGAATTGTACAGAACACAGATATACATGATAGAAAAGTACAAATTACACAGGACTGACCCAAGGATTGCCTAGACTCTTTAAAAGACCAGTAAAGAGAAGGAAGGAAATTTCTTTTTCCCTAGCCAGTGTGATGATAGAACCCTGTGCATGCGCTTTCTACTACCAAGCCACATCCCCAGCCCTGAGATATCTAAGAGGAATAAACACACTTTGTGTTATCTGTGACCACAAGGCTCCTTTCCCATCAATTCCTCCTCCACCAACCCAATAAAATAACACTAAATGCTTTAAAATGTCTCAACACAAGACAAGACACACAGAGTGAGCTACTTCAGATATAACTCTATCTGTCCAGTGTTCTGAGTATGCCTTCTTGCTAAATTTAACTTTCCGTACCAGGAGAGGTGATGCTTATATAACTGCTGTATCTCTTCTCAGAGACTTGCATGTTATACCCAATGAGTAAGCACATAATTCTTTATGAGACTGGGTCTCACTAGGTAGCCAAGGCTTGATATTCACTATATATCCCAGGTTGGCTAAAACTTGAGATCTTTCCATCTCAGTTTCCCAACTGCTGGGATTACAGATGTGTGCTACCCTGCCCAACTTGTAACTACATAATTATTCACTGAGAAGATAGAATTCTGGAGGAGAACTAAACTTACAACCTTACTTGCATATACCTTCCTCCTTCTTGTCTCCACTCATGAAAGTTTTCTTCCTATCAAAGGTTGATTCATTAGCTTGTACACTGTATTCCATTTCCTATGAACTTACATGCTCTGCCCTCTGTGGTTTTCTGTCTCATCAACCCTTTCTACTGTGTAAAAGAACTTTGGAACTATAAAAAGTTACCAAATGTAAAGTAAATATAGTTGTATACATTATTAATAAGTATCCACTCAAATTCACTTTGTTACATTTCCAATAACTAATGACTATATACATATACATATATATATATATATATATATATATATATAGTTTTTACTTTTCTCTCTCTGGCTTTCTCCTTTTTTCCCCTTCTTTGTCTTTTTTTTCCCCTGACTCTTTAATGATATCTCTGCAGAACAATGTCAATAATGAGGTCATTACATTTTTTCTATTAAAATTCATCCTTTGGTTTTCATTTTGGCCTAATTTAAATGCTGACATTATGGACTCTTGCTAATTAGTCTGAATGGCCAAATCCCCCACCAATTAAGCAAATGTAGAAATTCCAGGTTATTTTCAGTTATCCTGTGTGAATGTGAAGATGAAAAAGTGAAGACTGCAATCTCCTGTGACCTCCTGATATTTCACAATAAAGCTATTTCACAAGACGCCATAGTGTTTCAGCATCATTGCATTCTGAGTGTAGACATGTGTACCACAATTGTCATAGATTCTTGTGGTGTCGGATGGGACCCAGGTCATGAGTGCTAGACAAGCCTTACTGCTGAGGTAGTGTGCTGCACCTCACCATGTAATCCTTACATTCCTCTTAACCGAAGTTGGGTCTCCACGAGAGGAAATTTGCTTTGTATAGTGGTGAATAAACTCAAATTTTTAACAGAAAGTTTGCTTTAGTTGCTTTTGATCAACATGCATGATGTCATTTGGTTAACCTTCCAATCTTATACTTCCAAATGGAAAGAGCACTGAAAGTTCCTTTGTTATACATCAGTAATTTGAGTACATTAACTTTACAAGCGATTGTTAAACTCCCAGGTCATTCCCTAATTTAAGTGAATAATTCTGTTGATATTAATCTTAAGTTCTGATTTGTGAAGAAAAGAAAAAGAGAACCCCAGGGAAGAGGACAAGGATGTGAGATAAGGAGGAACTGGATGATAGGGAACAAAGATACAAGATGCAGTGAAAAAGGAGGAGATGAAAGAGAATCACTAGACGAAAACTTTCCCTGGAGTTTGGCAGTGCTCCAGGAAAAGTTTGAGATAGAGCAAATGTTTCTTTTGTTGTTGTATGTTTGGCCTTACTAGATTTTGAGCTCAGGGCCTTGTGCTTGCTTATCTGGGACTCCACCATTTGTGCCACACTTCCAGCCTGGTTTATGCCAGTTATTTTGGAGAGCTAGTCTCACAGACAATTCATAGATTTTTAAATCTCTTTTTTTGTTTTTTGTCAGTCAAGGGGCCTGAACTCTGAGCCTGGGCGCTGTCCCTCAGCTCTTCAGCTCAAGGCTAGCGCTCTACCACTTGAGTCACAGAGCCACTTCTGGCTTTTTCTGCTTATGTGGAGCTGAGGAATCGAACCTAGGGCCTCATGCATGTAAGGCAAGCACTCTACCACTGAGCCACCTTCCCAGCCCTGATGAATTCAGTCTTATGCAGCATTCTACCTGGACAGGAGCCATCAGTTTGTCTATCATATCTACACCATGTACACTATTTACTCATGAATCACTGTCTGAGTTGTCAGATTGATTGTTGCAGAATGGCCTTGCTTATATTCAAGACACCTCTACTTTATAAGGGCCTTAATAATAAGCACAAAGTAGCAATGCTGGCAATTTATGCCAAACAGAAATCATAAGATGCTTTTGTTATGGTGCTGTCACTTTACATAACTATAGGATGAAGAAGGGCGAATACAGTATAATAGATATTTTTAAGTAAAACCAAGTGAGCACACTCCCACAAATTTATTTTAGTATGTTATTTTCTGTTGCAGTCTTAATATACCCACTTTATAAATTAAATTGTATCACAAGTCTGAAAGTACAAGAATAAACAGTATAAGGTATAGGGTTCAGTATTATCTGCTGTTTCAGGAATCCTTTGGGGTCTTGGAATGGATTCCCCATAGCTAACCAGAACTACTGTATTTTGAAAGAAGATATCTTTCTTAGATTTCATGTCTCTACTGAATTCTAGTAAGCAATCCCTGATGCAAATGCTGCTTTCTAAAGCCCTCCTGATCTGACATCTCTCCATGAGCTGCCAATTGTAAAGACCTAGCCTATAGCTGGCTTTTAAGATATAGTTCAAGAATAAATCATTCGTTCTTGCTTCCTATTAATTTTTTCTTCAAAATAGTTCCTAAGGTTGAGCATAGAGCAAAAAGGAGTAGTTATTTGTAAGTGGGTTCTGATAGGATTGGAGGCTGAGGGAAAAGACACAGTTAGAGGTAGATACCTATCTCCTGGCCTTATTCCCAGATTTTTTTTTATTTGAAGAATCCATCGTTTATCAAAGTTCCGGGCAGCGAGACACAGGTATAACATTAGTAAATGACTGTGACAACATAGCTTCTGTTGCTTGGCACTGGGAAGGTCTTAAAGTAAAAAAAGTCAGGGAAATCATTGGCAATGCTAGAAATGTTTTCAACACTGTATGATTTTAAAGATGAGTCCCTGTTGAAAAGAGCCATATCTAGGAATGAAATAAACATGCACGTTTGCCAGCCTTTGTGTAACAACTCGGGTGTCTCTTTGGAGCAGCCATTTCCTCCACTGTGGATGAGCAGGCTCTGCTCTGCGAAGGCATGCTTGGCCTCAGTGTTGATGCGAAGCCTCCTCAATCCACACACTGCCAGGTACTCAGTGGGGAGGGTGTGGGAGCTGCACAGAGAAAGCTTCAGGTCCTGAACCAGTGTGAAGTTCAAGAGGCGGCCCAGTGCTGATGTGTCGGTGAACCAGATGGTCAGATGGCCACTGTAGCTGGTTTGCTCTGCTGCAGAAGGCAGGATGGTTTTGCAGCTGCATATCAGATTGGCCAGACTGTAGTCACAGTCCTGGATGTCTGCAGGGCAGCTGCAGTTCCGAATGGTGTTTTCCTTTGTGAAAATAAGTGTGCTGTTCTTCTGACCTTTCATGAAGTGGTCAAGTGCAAAGACCCCCAGTGCACTGAAAAGAAGGAGGCAAAGACTAGAAGGCGGTGCCATTCTTGTCCAGCATGGACCAGAATGTTCCTGTTTCTGCTTCATGAGGCAGTTCATCGTTTATTCACCTGAAATAAAATATGCAGCTTTGTTTTTAACCACAGCCTCTTGTCAGAAATACACAGCTTATAATAAATGTCTGGTGAGGCTGGGAAGGTGGCTCAGGGGTAGAGCGCTTGCCTTGCATGCATGAGGCCCTGGGTTCGATTCCTCAGCACCACATAAGCAGGGAAAAAAAGCCAGAAGTGGCGCTGTGGCTCAAGTGGTAGAGTGCTAGCCTTGAGCTGAAGAGCTGAGGGACAGCGCCCAGGCCCAGAGTTCATGCCCCACGACCAGAACCCCCCCAAAAAAAGTCGAATAATTCGACTGAAGACAGGCAATATTTTAGCTCAGAGCCTCAGGAGAAGCAGCAGCCCCATCTCTCAGCTCTTCCAGTGAGGTGTGCTGACAGTGAGACTCATATGCTAAGAGAGCTGGTACCTATGCCAGCAAGAAGACCTACCACGGCCTATCTATGGGCAGGGGCCTGGCAGAGTTACATGAGTGAGCAAATCCTTCAAACATTCAATTACTAGTATTTAGTACCTGTAATCTCCCTAGATATGCACATGCCTTCCTCCCTTCAGTATCTGACTTCCTGGAATTCAAAGACAAACAGTTCCTTGTAGGATTCTGCTACCCACGCACTGCCTGTTAAACTGCATAGCATGAATAGCAATAAAACATTGAGTTAATGGTAAACTTATATTTCTAACTAGACAAATGTGCCTCTACTTCCTCCCTGAGAATATCAATCTGTTTATGTAACTCCATCCCTTTCCTAACCCCTTATAAATATACTTATATATTCATTGTAATGATATATAATTATAACTATATGAATAGGTAGTTGATTATCCACCATTAACAAAATGAAAGACAAATCACCTTCCTTGATCTTTTCTTATCTCAGAGCAAATTGTATGAATTGACTTTTGTCCCCAAACTAAGCAATATATAAGCACTGCTAAATGAATTCAATACTGTAGGAAAATATTCATGTTTTAAAGAATAACAGCAATGCCCATGCCTGACTAGTAATCCATGTGTGGTCTTCTTCTGTGGTGTTATTAGAACAACACAAGCATTATGGCAGAAGGCACCAGGTTTCAGTTGTGTAAAAAGGATCAGAGTTTCTCTTGAATTACCTAGTAATAGAAGACAAACATTAAGTCAACTTTTCTATGTTTACCAAACACCAGAGGAATAGAGATACTTGGGATGAGACGATATCTAGGGAGGCCCACAGCTACAGACAGGAAATGGGCACAGAATGATAGATGAAAAAGTTAAGTGTATATCCATGGAATATAGCAGTAGTTGGAAAGTTCTAGGCAACACTCTGGTACAAGATGAGGTCACAAGGTGTCAAAGCATCCTCGGGGATGGAGGAAGGGGGTAGAGTGCTCAAGGAGATGGATCCATTCCTGTCCTTCACCAGATAGGCTACAGGGAGGCTAAAATAAGCTTAGCCAAGCAAACTTGAACAGCAATGATAACTTGAACAGCAACTGTATTTGTTCATTCATTCATTCACCCCATATTTACTGGGAGCTGATTGCATGACAGGCACTTTGCCAGTCCTGGGGAAACAGCCCAGAACCTTCAGGAGTCAGCCTTTATGCTGGCTCTAATGTTTCTAATTGTGTGTCACATCAGCCACAGGGCCAAGACAGGCCCGCATACAAAAATTCAGAGCAGAAAGGTGAGGAGTGTCAGCAAGGGCCAAGCATGGACTTTGTGCCAGTCCCTAGCCTAGGCCAAGCAGAAGAAACAAAGGTAAACAGAGCCTGGGTGCTGGGCTCCAGGGCTTTATGCTCAAAGGGGGAAGGAAGACAAGCAAGGCTGAGCTGAGAAGGGCTAGCTACACTGAGACAGATATATATATATATATATATATATATATATATATATATAGACCTTTTAGAAAATGAAGTTGTTCAAAAGAAGTGTCTTTGCAGACATCAAAGGAATTGGTACTGTTGAAAAGGACCTCACAAATGTCACTCCCATGGTTATATTCAAGACTACAGTGTTACCCAGCATGCTGTTGGCAGTGTATAAACAAGCAGGTTAAGGGGCAAGAGTCTTAACAAGAAAAATAATGCATAGATTGAGCTTATTAATAAGCACGCTGATAGCTGAGATAGTTTTCTGAAATGTCTGCAGGAAAATTAATCAGAAAAAAGAAGGAAGCTTAACAGGAATCTGGGTTTGATGCAATAGTAGCCTGTTCTGCTCAGGGAAGCATATTGTGAGACCCTGGTAGAAAATACATGCACTGCGGGAACATGTTCCCTGTGAAATCATGGCATAACAGATGTTTGTTTTTTTTAAATCAATGACTCTAGACTCTAAAAATGTTCTTTTTTAAAGTTTTTTTTTGTCAATCAGGGGGCTTGAACTTGCAGCCTAGGGGCTGTCTATGAGCTCTTTTGCTCAAGGCTAGCACTCTATCCCTTTGAGCTACACCACCACTTCCAGTTTTCTAATGGTTAACTCAAGATAAGAGTCTCGCAGACTGGCTTTGAACCACAATCCTCAGATCTCAGCCACCTGAGTAGCTAGGATTACAGGCATAATCCACCAAGCACCCAACAAAAGTAGTTCTTAATTGTACTCTGCCCCCCACCAAGGAAATATTGAAAGCAAGGGAAGGGAAGAAAGAAGGAGGAAGGGGAGAAAAAAGAAAGAGGAAAAGAAAAGAAGGCAAGAAGATTGGTTGAATCAATCATTGGGAAGACTAGATAGGGTATTTACAATATTTTCTGCTGAGTTTGAAGTTGGCACAGAATTTTCTTAAAGGATTTATTAGCAGATACTTTCGTAATTTAAAAAAAACAACTTGAGAAACATGGAGAGCTGCAGGTTCTCCATGGACAAGAAGCTTATCATCTTTTTCATGGTGTTAGGATGTGTTGTTGACTATCCCATTTAATAAGAAAAAGGGAAGCGTTTATTAATGACAGGATAATTTTAGATTATTAGCTGTCCCAGATTCCATCCAAGGTTTCTGGGACTTCACGTCCCAGTAACCCTGACTCCTCAGAGCTAGGAATACTGTCAGTGCCATTGGTCCTTTCTGATCTCAGCCTTGAAAAGAAAGGGAGGGAGAGCTACACATCAGCCTTCAACCTGGTGAGAAAGTGTCTGCCTCATTCACAAATGGATTCTGCGGTGTATAGGAAAGAGAAAAAGGGTTGGAGAGTAAAGTACACTGATTTGCTGGAACGCAGGCACTGAAAGTTCCCGAAAGGATTTGACCATGACTTTCCAATAATGGAGGCCCTGTCTGGACCCCGTAAGTGCTCAGGGGGCCCAGGGACTGGAACAGGTATAAGTTTCACTGTTGTGGTTTGGATGTGGTTTGTGTTAGAAGCTTGGTCCCCAGTGTGGCATTGGGAAGAGGTAGTGGGATTTCTAAGGGATTTCTACCTACTGTGAGGTAGTTAGGTTATGGAAGGCATTGCCCTCTAAAGGAATTGATGTGGTTCTCATGAGACCCTGATTACTTCAAGTGAGAGTCTTGGTTTTGACATCTCCCTGAGCTCTGGTTTTCTGTTTCACCATGGGCTGTCTTTCTCGCATGCTCCTACCATGATGCCATTTGTCATGGGGCCCTCACTAAAGCTGACACAATGCTGGTTGGATATTTTAGCCACCCAAAGTATGATCTAACTAAACCTCTCTTCTTCATAAAGTATCTAGCCTCAGTACTTGCAGTAACAGAAAGCAGACTATCACGCTCACTTTGTGGGATGCACTCAGGATTCTAAAATGTCTCATTTACTGGGAGACCCTTTATGTGTACTTCCTCAGAATCTTCCAGGGACACACTTTGGGGACTGCATTTGTGATAGACATCCTTGCCAGAGACACTCCAGTCCTGGCTTTTAAATATCTTTCCTAAGGTTCTCAAGTCCTGTCTTTCTTCAGCCCTTAACCCCAGTATTATATCTTAGGTTACAGCCCTTTTTCCACTTTCTTCATTTGGATCTTTTTCTTAATTGCTTTTCTACTTTTAAAATAAAAATCATTTCTAAGTTCAAATTAAACTCACTTTTGAATTTTTTTTGGGGGGTCCATTCGTGGGGCCTGAACTCTGGGCCTGGGTGCTGTCCCTCAGCTCTTCAGCTCAAGGCTAGCTAGCGCTCTACCACTTGAGCCACAGTGCCACTTCCCGCTTTTTCTGCTTATGTGGTGCTCAGGAATCATAAGGGCCTCATGCATGCAAGGCAAGTGCTCTACCACTGAGCCACCTTCCCAGCCCTTGAATGAATTTTTTAATCACATTTGACTTTTAAGTGCTGCAAAGATTTAGATAATGTCACTAGAGTTTTTTAAAATTGTGAAAATACCATACAGAGGGGTTAAAATTACAAGGGCAAGATAATGTACATTTCTTATCAAGCATTGTTGCCTCCTCCTTTGTTTCCCCTTTCCATCCCTTCCCATTTCCTACCCACCCCCCACCCTACCCCTAGATTTTTTTTAATTATATTTTTCGACATCTGTATTGTTTGTAAAATTCAGACCATTATTCTTTATGACATCTCAAGTGTGTTTGGGGAAAATGGTCCGAATGCTATCTTCCTGCTGACACAGTATCTCCTTACAAATAATATCTTTTTATAAACAGATGCTTCCAGTTTGAGACATGCCTATTGGAGCCAAGGATAAACATGATCTAAATGTTGGGTGTAATCGTAGATTGAGACAGAATCTCTACAGAATTTGTTTTGAAGTACTGATGTCTGTATCTGCCTAATTTGGAAGGCCTTGCTTCATGCAGATGGTTGCTGGTGTTAGTTGTTACTAAGATTTCTTCAGGTGCAATACAAAGAAAATGTTTAGTATTGATTTTTGAATATTTGCTCCAGTTTTTAAATGGTCTGTGATTTAAAGGCTCCAAGACCAGATGACCATACTTAGTTTTCAGCATCTTGCTTTAAAAACTTAGATGTGTTGACATTATTTGAGTTTTTGTCACAGTTCTCTAAAGCCACTATATCTTAAGACTCCAGTATAT